TATATATATATATATACAACATTTCTACTAAATAAAAAAAATATATATATATATCTGCTAACTGTATTGAGTTAAAAAATTTAAAATGTTCTTTAAAATTCTGCAATCTTTGCATTTATTAAATTGTATTTTATATCATCCATCAGATGTCAATATATAAATCCAGAGGTCTCATATGATTCCAGCTACTCTGTAATGTTTTATATGCAAAAAAGGCCTAATATTACCCAATTTTATGATGCTGAGTTAAAAAAATCAATAAAAACTTTCCGTCAAGTAACCCTTTTTTTTTTCACAAAAATAAGAATGAAAATTTCACATTTTTCAAATTATGCATCCGCAATATAATGAAAGCTGTCAAATGTCAAAAAGTTTTGGTTTTAATGATAAAAATATGTATTTAATCTGCAAAGGAGTGGAAAATATGTTCAAATGCTCCCTTTAATGTCCAATAACTTCACAAAATAGCTTTTTTTAAACACAAAATTTGCAATTTTCTGCTGCTCTTTGATCATCAGGATAATGTTCGCATTTTCTTCTGTCTATGAAATCAGGATCAGGCATGAAATAGTGTCACACATGTGAAAATGGGCTGAGAATTGATCAAATGTGACCCTGCAGCACAAAAGCAGTGTTAAGTCGCTGGGGTATATTTGTAGCAATAGCCAACAATACATTGCATGGGTCAAAATTATAGATTTTTCTTTTATGCCAAAAATCATTAGGATATTAAGTAAAGATCATGTTCCATGAAGATATTTAGTAAATTTCCTACCGTAAATATATCAAAACTTAATTTTTGATTAGTAATATGCATTGCTAAGAACTTCATTTGGACAACTTTAAAGATGATTTTCTCAATATTTAGATTTTTTTGCACCCTCAGATTCCAGATTTTCAAATAGTTGTATCTCAGCCAAATATTGTCCAATCCTAACAAACCATACATCAATGGAAAGCTATTTATTCAGCTTTCAGCTGATGCATACATCTCAATTTCACAAAATTGACCCTTATGACTGGTTTTGTGCTCCAGGGTCACAAATAGTGATAATCTGGCTCAGATGCAGACAGGAATCATGTGTTTGTGGTGTTTTTCTGCTGATTAAGGGAGAATACAAGACTAATTCACCACACAAATTATTGCAAAAAAAAAATGCTATGAAATGCATCATATTTAGTGAGAACGTGTGAGTCTCTCCAGCAAAACAGACACTATTTTAGGAATCACCAGCACCAAAATGAGTAAGAAACAAGTGTTGGATTTCCTTCAGTGGATATGATGCAGATCGGTGTCATAATCAGTGTGGTTTTAGATGCTTCTTTTGTCTCGCGATCACATCCTGCTCACAGTATTGTCTCTCTGCACCGTCCTGTTGGTCTTGGGTTTCAGGTTTCTGCGACATTTGCGGCGAGTTTAGTGACGAGTCCGGCTATAGGAGCGTTCCTGTCCCTGCGGTATGGAGACAGTCTGGTGGTTCTTCTGGCCACCATCATCGCTGTGGCTGATATTCTGTTCGTTCTGCTGGTGGTGCCCGAGTCCCTGCCGGACAAAATGTGCATGTCGTCGTGGGGTTTGCCTATCTCCTGGGAGCAGGCGGATCCTTTCGCTGTGAGTTACATATTTTATGGTTTTATATACTCTGTCTTGAATGCTAGCTATTGAGGGATACCTTTAGTTTAGTCTAGTGATGCACCAACATTAATGCTTTACACTGAAATTAACATTCTTTTATTCCGAAAACTGAAAATAAAGTTGATTTAATAATCAATTGTGACCCTGGTGACCTCTTAAGTGTCAATTTTTCAAAATTGAGATTTATACATCATATGAAAACTGAATAAATTAGCTTTCCATTGATGTATGGTTTGTTAGGATAGGACAATATTTGAAAATCTGGAATCTGAGGGTGCAAAAAAATCTAAATATTGAATGCATTTAATTATCAACACTCGGCTGTATACAAACACTTAAATTGCACATAAGGCAGTTTTTATATTTTTTAAATGATATAATGACGTTTTAGTTGTTGAAATACAAACAATTAAACTAAAGAGTACTAACAGGTTAGTTAAAAAAATAATGAATATGTAATATAGTGCATATATTTATCAAAATGCTTTTTTTTCTAGCTAACTATCAAGTTTATGGTCTTTTAATGTTTTTCCTGATGTAAATGCGACATTATTGATCAGAGGCTGTTTTATTGACATCTTTCTGTGGTTGAATCACTGATTGATGGATTACGTGATTCATGATTCATTTCGGTGAATTGTTCTGATTCTTCTGATGTTCATTCGTGTTTATTTGCTGCTATAACTAGTAGTAAAGAGGATCTGACACCACACATTAAAAAGCCACAAAAACACATTTATTGTTTAAATTTCATGATAAAACTGACAGAATTTGAAAGCTGGGACTTTGTTTCATTGCAAAAGTAACAAATATATGCACTATATTACATATTCATTATATTTTTAACTAACCTGTTAGTACTCTTTAGTTTAATTGTTTGTATTTCAACAACTAAAACATCATTATATCATTTAAAAAATATAAAAACTGCCTTATGTGCAATTTAAGTGTTTGTATACAGCCGAGTGTTGATAATTAAATGCATTTGATTAATTAATTGTGACCCTTATAAAAATGTGCAATTTAAATGTTTGTATCCAGCTGAGTGTTGATAATTAATTGCATTTGATTATTAAATAAGCTTTATTTTCAGTTTTCGGAATAAAAGAACATTTTAATTTCAAGCTGATTTACTGACGTCTTTCTGCGGTTGAATCACTGATTGATGGATTACGTGATTCATGATTGATTTCAGCGAGTTGTTCTGATTCTTCTGATGTTCATTCGTGTTTATTTGCTGCTATAACTAGTAGTAAAGAGGATCTGACACCACACATTAAAGAGCCACAAAAACACATTTATTGTTTACATTTCCTGATAAAACTGACAGAATTTGAAAGCTGGGATTTTGATTCATATCAAAAGTAACAAAGCACCAATTAAATTCATTTAACAAGACCAACTCTTTAAGGCATCATTTATCTCGTAATTATGAATAACATATTGGTGTGGCCTTTTGGAATATTTAAAAGATAAAAAAACTTGGGAATGAAGGCCCAATGATTAGCCACATACATATAGATATTGTCACAGTAATCCAACATAGACGAGAAAAGATGTGCAGATGCTGTCAGTTGTTGTGAAAGTGTTTTGTGTGTGTGTGTGTGTGTGTTAGTCTCTGAGGAAGGTGGGTAAAGACTCCACAGTGCTGCTGATCTGTGTCACCGTGTTCCTGTCGTATCTGCCCGAGGCCGGACAGTATTCCAGCTTCTTCCTCTATTTAGGACAGGTACGTGTTACGAAACGCTGCTCACAACCCATTTCACTTCTGCAGTGTGCTGTATGTCAGAGTAAAACAGGGAATCTAACAGGAAATCAATGTAGGATCAGATGTGGACTTGTAAAAACTGATGCTCTTCCTCAATATTTCTGTCTTGTTCTCCAGTACAAATATCCAAACATTCTTAAATCAAGATACATTTACTGGAGACGCAAAATGTGACCCTGCAGCACAAAAGCAGTCTTAAGTCGCTGGGGTATATTTGTAGCAATAGCCAACAATACATTGTATGGGTCAAAATTATACATTTTTCTTTTATGCCAAAAATCATTAGGATATTAAGTAAAGATCATGTTCCGTGAAGATATTTTGTACATTTCCTACCGTAAATATATCAAAACTTAATTTTTGATTAGTAATATGCATTGCTAAGAACTTCATTTGAACAACTTTAAAGATGATTTTCTCAATATTTTGATTTTTTTTGCACCCTCAGATTCCAGATTTTAAAATAGTTGTATCTCAGCCAAATATTGTCCTATCCTAACAAACCATACATCAATGGAAAGCTTATTTATTCAGCTTTCAGATGATGTATAAATCTTAATTTCGAAAAATTGACCCTTATGACTGGTTTTGTGATCCAGGGTCACATATGACTTATGATATTTAGTCTTGTTTTCTGAAAAATCCCTTTGGATTAAGTTTGTTTTTCTGACCCCATTGACAATTTAATTTTTTCCTGTTTTAAGCATAAACTCACTTAATTTAGATGATTTTCAGAAAACAAGACTTAATATCAGTTATCAGTGAATGCATCTTGATTTCAGAGGTATTTACACTGAAAAACAAGACTTTTTTTTTTTTTTTTGCAGTGCATGACCTTCCTTGAGATGAATTGATATGAATAATGACGCTTTTGTCTTCTGTAGAGCAGCTGAAATTGAATTCCTTTCATAATTAATGAATTTGCGACTGTTATTAACACTGAAGCTGACCCAATCTATATCGCATAGAGTGCTAAAGAAATAAACGTGACTGGCGTTAGAAGCTGTGCGTTATATTTCAGGTCATTAACTTCTCGTCAGAAGCGATTGCAGCGTTTATTGCGATGGTGGGAATCTATCAGTTATCAGTGAATGCATCTTGATTTCAGAGGTATTTACACTGAAAAACAAGACTTTTTTTTTTTTTTGAAGTGCATGACCTTCCTTGAGATGAATTGATATGAATAATGACGCTTTTGTCTTCTGTAGAGCAGCTGAAATTGAATTCCTTTCATAATTAATGAATTTGCGACTGTTATTAACACTGAAGCTGACCCAATCTATATCGCATAGAGTGCTAAAGAAATAAACGTGACTGGCGTTAGAAGCTGTGCGTTATATTTCAGGTCATTAACTTCTCGTCAGAAGCGATTGCAGCGTTTATTGCGATGGTGGGAATCCTGTCCATTGTAGCACAGGTACGGACCTTCAGCTCCAGACACTCATTTCTGAGATGATATACAGCTGTTTTTGGAATCCTTGATCATCGTTTGCATTTGCAGACGTTACTGTTAAGCTTTCTGATGAAGAAGATTGGGAATAAAAGCACCGTTCTGCTGGGACTGGGATTTCAGTTGTTCCAGCTGGCTTGGTACGGCTTCGGCTCTGAACCATGGTGAGGAGGATGGAATGGAAAGTGAGCTCTGTTGTGAGTCGCGGGGTTTAAAGTAACTCTGTGTTTGTTGAGCGCAGGATGATGTGGGCAGCCGGTGCCGTCGCTGCCATGTCCAGCATCACCTTTCCTTCTGTGAGCGCGCTGGTGTCCCGCTGCACGGATCACGACCAGCAGGGTAAGAGACGAAACACAGCGACATGCTCATCAATACTGCACAAAATCATGATCTTCCTCTGGGCTTTTGTCTTGTTTCCCAGTGCAAATGTCTAAAGATTCTTAAATGTGACCCTGGAGCACAAAACCAGTCATAAGGGTCAATTTTTCGAAATTGAGATGTATACATCATCTGAAAGCTGAATAAATCAGCTTTCCATTGTGAGACGAATATATGATTAAAAAAGAAGAAAAAATCTGTCAGTGGGGTCAGAGAAATAAATATTGCAATCGTAGATGATGAATAAATGTACGCTAAATTTTTGTTGTTGGAGTTAATGTTTGTAATTTCACTGGTTCTGCTTTTGAGAAAAGCTTCCTCTTGTGATGTAAAGAGTGTGTTATTTTATATAATAAATATAATACATCAGGGAACTAGATGACACTGCTTTTGTGCTCCAGGGTCCCAAATCAAGATGCATTTACTTGAAGCAACGTGACTTAAGATATTAACTTTTGTTTTCTGAAAAATGCATGAAAATGAGACGAATATATGATTAAAAGAAGAAGAAAAAATCTGTCAGTGGGGTCAGAGAAATAAATATTGCAATCGTAGATGATGAATAAATGTACGCTAAATTTTTGTTGTTGGAGTTAATGTTTGTAATTTCACTAGTTCTGCTTTTGAGAGAAGCTTCTTCTTGTGATGTAAAGAGTGTGTTATTTTATATAATAAATATAATACATCAGGGAACTAGATGAGGTCGAATAAACCATGCACGTTGACGTTCTCTCAATTTGTGCTTTTGTGAAAGTGCAGTATGTTAAAAGAAATTTCTAAAAGGACAATAATCGCGATTTGGAAAACGTGCACTGCAAAAATGACTTTTATGTGAAGCACAATTATGTAAGAGATTAAAGGGATAGTTCACCCAAAAATGAACATTACCCCATGATTTACTCACCCTCAAGCTATCCTAGGTGTGTATGACATTCTACTTTCAGACGAATACAATCGGAGTTATATTAAATAATGTCCAATTTTTCTTACACAAACACATCGCGTCGCTTCCGAAGGCCTTTATTAACCCCCCGGAGCCGTGTGGACTTCTTTTATAATGGATGGATGCAATTGTTTGGACTTCAAATGTTGGGCTACCATCCACTCCCATTATAAAGCATGGATTAGCCTGGACATTATTTAATATAACTCTGACTGGATTCGTCTGAAAGTAGAGAGTCATACACATCTAGGATGGCTTGAGGGCGAGTAAATCATGGGCTAATTTTCATTTTTGGGTGAACTATCCCTTTAAGTCTAGTTTTCTGAAAAATGTACTTTGAAGTTGAAACAAGAAAAAAAAAATCTGCCAATGGGGAAAGAAATCAAATCTTAATTCCAACAAGAAAACAAGATTTAACAAAAAAAAAATTCCCCATTGGCAGATAGTTCCTCTCATATTAAGAAAACTCACATGTAATACATTTCTCAGAAAACAAGCCTTAATATCTTAAGTCATTGTGCTTCTCATGTAATTATATCTTGATTTAAGAATAGTACTGGAAAACAAAACAGAAATACTAAGAAAATCATTTTTTGCATGTATGATTTATTTTATTTTACATGATTTATTTTTAGTTTTTTTTTATGTTAAACAAAATAGATGCATATCTGTTTTCCAGTATATATAAATCATGCACACCAATCATTTTTTTTTGTTTTTTCATCCTTTTTTTGCAATGCACACACCTAACATGATATGCTTGTGCGTGTGTGCGTGTGTGTGTCTCTGTGTGTCTCTGTGTGTGTGTGTGTGTGTGCGTCGGCCCGGCTCTGTTCGGATTCATATTCTTCCTCTTCAATGTGGAACTGAAGGAGCTGAGCCCCGTGGAGCCGAACCCCGTCACGCCGGACCCTGAAGAGGTCAGAAATCACTCCGTATGAAGTGTTTGTTTCTGTGTCTTTCTGTACAGTGCTTGTCTTTTGTCTTTCAGAAGTCTGTTATTCCAGGTCCTCCATTCCTGTTCGGAGCGTGTTTGGTTCTTCTGGCTCTGCTGGTGGCGGTGTTCATTCCGGCTCAACACGCTCCGGCGGTGAAGACGTGCAACACGCGTGTGATGACGGAGCCTGCGAGTGCCGTCACGGAGAACGGATCGGTTCCTGTGAGCGACGAAGACAACGAGCCTCTTTTACAGGACAGCAGTTTATAAGCTGCTGGTTTGGGTTTTATTCCAGCAGTGTGTCTGACAAAGCTTTTTATTGAATGTCTAAACGTCTGTATTTTTTATTTTTTTTATCCTTCGGTCTTTGAAAGAGAATGTGCCTTCTACATATTTTGGCTTGCACTGCAGAAAATCAAGTTCTTCCGTATTTTTCAGTACAAATCTCTAAACAGAGAAGCAAAATGACTTAAGATATGAACTATGAAGTCTTGTTTTCCGGACAGTTTATGCTTAGAACAAGAATAAATGTCTGCTAATGGGTCAGAAAAATAATCTTGTTTTCCTTTTGGATTTTTGGCAGCTATTTGTTAAAGCATTAAGCCCCGTGAAGCCATGGTTTACAGTGAATTTATAACAGCTAAGGGCTTCTGGTCGTGCCTAACAACGCCCCTTAGCTGTTATAAATTCTCTGTAAACCACGGCTTCACGGGGCTTATTGCTTTTATAAAACGGTTATTCCATATATGTAGTAAGGTTTCACAAAATAAAACAGAGCAAATAAAGTGTAATGATATTAATAAAAACAGTATTCTTCCACCAAACAATGTAGCTCCTCAGAAACAGTTGTGGTTGCAACAAAGTGGTTGCCGAGCAACAGACAAACGTAAACAAAGGCGTATGTTACTTTGTAGAGTCATTTACAACAGCTTTGAACGTGGCTCAGCCAATCAGAATCAAGCACCGGAACTATCCGTTTTATAATCTTGTTTTAAGCATAAACTCACTTCATTTTGATACATTTTTCATTAAACAATATCTTAAGTAATTTTGCTTCACAAGTAAATGTGTCTTAATTTAAAAATCTTCAGACATTTGTACTGGAAAACGACAAAAATGATTTTCGCAGTGTAGTTCGTGTATCTGAATGTAAACTGTAGTCTTTTACTGTATTACTGATGAACTTTAACCTCTGCGTTAATCTTGTACAGACTGCAGTATTAATAATGTCATAGTTAAGAGCATTTAAACATGCAGGGCATGTACAGCCAGAGCGCAGCGTCTTTCTTTTATCGATAAACGGCACAAAACAGACATAAGCGCACTGTCTTTAGGTCAGGTGCGGCTTTGATAGATGAATTATTACGAAGAAAATAGTATTTAATCTGTAACTCATATATGAGCACCAGCTACTCAACACAGAGCTGCTACCTCACAATTACACACAGACTTGATTTACAGGAAGAGTTCAGCCAAAACTGAAAATGTGCTCACTCTCGGTTCATCCTCAGATCAGGATGAGTTTGTTTCTTCATCAGGTTTGTAGAAATGTAGCATTGCATCAGTGTCTCACTGCAAGTGAATGGGTGCCGTCAGAATGAGAGTCCAAACAGCTGATAAAAACATCACAATAATCCACAAGTAATCCACAGCACTCCAGTCCATCAGTTAACATCTGGAGAAGACAAAAACTGAATACACCTCGGATGAACTGAGAGTGAGCACATTTTCATTTTTGGCTGAACTCTTCCTGTAAGGCATTTAATGTTTCTGTGTTGCCTGAAATAATTTGCAGAGGACCGAATCAAATGTTTTTAAAACGGCTTTACGGATTTATCGTTGCTTCCTCTTACTGACTTCCGTGTTATTTAATTTAATTTAATTAAAAAAATTTATTTTTTGCATGTTAAAAGCGGAGTAAAAAATTCTCGGAAGTTCATTATGCGTCACGACTCAATTAGCAGCAGATTATCTGATTGATTGCATTTTATCATGTAACACACTGCAGCAATAACAGCCTAAATCCATGATGATTTCTGCTTTATCGTGCACTAAATTAATGTTTTTGAGCAGCACAGAGCAGAGGAAACGTTCCCAATTCTGGCGACCTGAATATGATGCATACTTGAAAATGATGTCAAAGCAGAAATGTAGATGTAATTCTATTTATGCAATCGGTGCTGTAGATCAATGCACACTGACTCCAGAAGCTCTTAACCCCACTAAAGTTACTTTAGGTGTTTTCCGCACTTTGTTTCGGCTCTAGGTGCCATTCTTCATGTCTATGCATTAATTCCTTGAAGACTTTATTGAAGAGATTTTATCGATGCACATTAAGCATGTTTGTTACAAATGTTCGTTGAGATATTAATTGATCAATGTTTCAATAAACCACTTCATATTCCAGGATTGGATTTATATTGTTTCCCATCGACAGAGAAATGCACGTGTCGTATTTATGGCTGAAGGCAAAATAGGAAATTGGAAATTTAATTTATTTAACTGAAATGAATTAAAACGGCACTCTTATAAAATATCGATTTCAAGACAGAAAAAGGTTCAACGTCATGCTGTGAAACAAATTTCTTGGAATGAGAAAACTAATAAACAGACTCCAGTGGAAGCGTTTAAAACACACTGATATCAATCCGTGTCATATTTACAGTCGTGAAGCAGACGTTCATGCGCTTCTACAGCAGGCAGCTCAGGGAGACTTTAGTGGTGTATGACGGCTGAGTCTCTGAAAAAGAGTCATTTGAGGAACCATTAGCTAAAGCTTAATATCTGCAAATGATGCACAAACCGTTTTCCAAATGAAGCGCTGTATTTAAAGTTCTGTATGATGTTATCAGTGTGTACTGAATGATGCACTGAAAAAAAAAAAAAAAAAAGGTTTTGCATTTACTTTGAAACTGCTAGTAAATTTCACCGGTAATTACAAAGAAACAGAAAGTGTAACATTAAATTAAACATGCAATTTTCAAGTAGAAAGACTCAAATATTATGTTCTTGTAAAAAGTGCTCCAGTAATATTTGTTTGATTTTACAGCTTCAGAAAATCAGCACGTTTGGGCAAAATTTTAGAAATGGATTCTTTTCAATGAATAAATGTGAATCTGAATCGAATTGGCCGCAACTAACAAGAAGCTGAACTGAAATGTTAATTATAATGACAGGAAGAGGAATTTACTGAACTGATTTTTTTTATTTTTTAATTATAAATTGCAAAATAATTAATTATAATTATTTATTATTTTTAACCTACACTGCTTATATATATATATATATATATATATAAAATTCATATTTAATTTAAATGGATGGATTTATCATCATTCTCACCTCTGTCTTGAAGGGTCTCGATGTATGTCTTCATGAACTCCTTGTCACGCCCGTCCTGAGCTTCTGAGTCCGTGCTCATGTCCTCATTCTCAGTGTTTATTGGATTGTGGTATAATCGGATTAATCTGGAACAGAAAGACAGTGTACTGTAGATCAGCGCTGCTTTAGAAAGTCTTTTCAGGGGTTTGGAGAGCAGCATGGTGTTTTACACTCAGATTCTAAAGATAAAAACACAGAATGAGACGCGTACTGTGATGCCTTTCATGGCCTCATTTATAACCACTGTTGGGGGTAACTCATTACAAGCGAGTTACGTAATCAGATTACTTTTTTCAAGTAACTAGTAAAGTAACGCATTACTTTTTTAATTTACAAGAAAATATCTGAGTTACTTTTTCAAAAAAGTAATGCCAGTTACTTTGTTTTCCCATTTATTGACTGACAAGTCTCCTGTCCCCATATTGGGAGAAATCAGAAGTGCAGAGGAATTGTGTGCGCTGTGTGAACATGATGTAGTTCTAGACTAAATGTGAATGTGAATTAATTCATCCCACTCACAAAAAAACAGATTTAGTATTCATCAAAATGAATTAAAACAGTGAAATGCAAACTCAGAATATGACGCAAACCTGCAATAATTAAATATGTTAAATAACACAAATGTATCTAATCCCATTTTCTTTTATATTAGCTATAAATAGAACTTCTTATATTAAAAACAATCAAGCCCTGCTTATATTTAAAAAGTAACGCAAAAGTAACGCAAAAGTAATATAACGCATTACTTTCCATAAAAAGTAACGCAATTAGTTACGCAATATTGTAATGCATTACTTTTAAAAGTAACTTTCCCCAACACTGGTTATAACTGTTGCGTACGCACAAAACCTGCCCTGAAAGAGGCGTACGCCACTTGGAAAAGGTGGGATTTATAAAAAACAAACTTGACATACTGACTTTTTTTTCCTGGAGAGAGAAAAGTAATGAAGTAAACAACGATTTTAAACTTTTAATTTCATCATATACATTTACATTAAATATTCCACTCTCATTAATGGAGATAAGCACTGAAATGACACAAAGTCATCACGCAGAAGTTAAACCAAAATTATATGAATTTAGACATAGCCTATTTGTAGTGGATGCGCTTGATTACTTTTCCTGTGGTATACATGTTTTACTGACAGCGAGGAGTGCTATAGGTGCACAATAATTGATCTTTAAACTAAACTGCACATCTCATGTTATGAGAAAATATTTTTAGTGAGAACAATGATCAATGATGCGCACTTGCTTCGATATTATGGCAGACACTTCTGGATTCGGTGGAACGGTTTATTGTCTGGTTTGAATAGGAGCAATGATAATAGCTTACTGTACAACCGTGAAGCATCTCCACAACATTATGAAAAATGCCACTGTATTTGAAGGATACAACTTGAAGAAAACAGTAAGATTTGCACGTTTCCGATGACGCGCAGAGTCAGATAATTGTATTTACACTGCAATAAATATAGGCCTATATTTTTCCGCTAAAAGATGTTCACCTTATCAGCAAAACTGCATTAATTTAATTTAATTTGAATTTTGTAAAACAATTGAAATATTATTGGGCCAGTGGAAATGAATGAGATCAACTCTATTCTAAATTATTTTTCTGAGAACTATTTTAAACAGTTTTTATGGATATTTTGATATATTTATTCTAAAACATAACAAGGATACCGGATGGTTTTTAGCAATAAAAATTAATGTGTATGGCACAAATGGCATTTATAGTCTGTATCTCATATTTCCTTAATACATTTGATGGGGTTAAACATGGTGTCACGTGGATGGAATATGCATGTAAATGATATGCAGATGAGGTGTTATGCATAATAAAACTAGGCGTTGTAAGCTCCATATAAGGTGATTTCGGGGAGGAGTCGGGATGGAGATGCACATACGCACAATCTTCCCAAAACTGGGATTTATAAAGAGATTTTTCGCAGTTTCTGGCGTACTCATGGTTTTATAAATCTGAAAACTTTTAAGCGTATGCAAAATCTAGCTTTTGTGCCTACGTACACTTTTAGGATGAAATCTACAGAGTTTTATAAATGAGACGCGATCGCAAAGTTTCTCTGGGGAACGCAAATGTTTTTGCAACCAATCGCGAGTTTTCGGGGAATGCAATAGTTTTGCAAGAGAACGCGAATGCAAAGTTTCTTGGAGGACCGCAGTAGTTTTGTGAGCGAACACAAGGGGCCTCATTTATAAAACGTTGCGTATAAACCGTCCTAAATTTGATCATTTCTCAAAAGTGCGATTCAGAGAA